TCCTTTGGAATTGTAAATTGTATTCTTGCTGTGTTCTGTCAAAGCACTTTGTAAACCATGTTTTTAAAAGTGCTATACAAATAAAGTTATTATTCTTATTATAATGGAACCCCTGCATAAGTTTGCCTGCTTTCATTATGAAGTGGCTGATTCTTCTAGCACTGAATGGCCAAAGAAGACTAGGGTCACATAACCTATTACAAAAAGTTAATCTTCAAACTACATGTGCTTATATTTATTAAGTCAGATCTAAGCTTTTTTGGTAAATTCATACATTAATCACTAAGTGTGATTAAAAATAAGAAATCATCTACTGTACAAACATTATGGTAATGTATTATTTTTTTATTCTAGGCTACTCATTTCTCGTATCTGTCTATATGTAGTGCTTTCTTTTATGGTGATTGTTCAGTGCAAAAAAAATTGTGAAGTTGTTACTAGTTTTTATGTTTTGGTAAAAAGCATAACTTTATTTTATGGAAGAGCACATTCCAAGCACAAGTCAGTTGTCTACTGTGGTACAATGCTGAGTAGTCAAGATAATCTACATTATATTACAATATGGAAAGGGCACTTTTAAAAAAAAAATTTTTTTTAAAGATATTGCTTGGAATATATCAATAAATATTAAAAAATATATACATTTTGTACATGAAGCCCACGTGAAACTATGGAATCAGTGCTTTTGAAATACATACTGTACCTGCAGGTTAGTGCTATCTATAAAGTAATGGCCTGTATAAATGATCCTAGTTACTCACTTAAATGAACTTTTAGTGCCCCCCTGTGGTTATTCTTGACTGTCATTACACTGTGTGAGAGTGCTCATGAGATCTAATGAGTAATGGGACTGTGGGTGCACTATGTCAAGAACAAGGAACATCACTGAATATGAGTTTTAGTTGCTGATAATGATTTTTTTTTATTACATACACATTAAAAGTTCATTAAGTCAGACGGTAAGACTAATAGAGCTACCACAGACAGCAGGAATACTGAGATGGCCATGGCTTTCATATTAAACAGCCCAATAAGGCCAACTACTGTAGTTTAACTTAAGTAGATACAATGTAGAGTGGGTCGAGCCACCAAGTATCTGCTCTTTGCTTGGGTGAGAGGTGAATTTAAAGGCAGTGTGAAGGTTAAAGAATGGTGTCACCTGTTAGAGGGACCAGCCTGTTATCCACTGCAGGGCCTAATGATCCTTTAACATTATTTAACACAAATACTGGCCTTCTATAAGAATGGTCACCCAACTTTTGGCATAATTAACTCTCTCTCGATAATTGTCAGCACCGGTATCTAGCTCTATTTACACAGAAATACCTTAAAACAGCTGAGATTATAGTGTATTAGCTGGATTACAATAAAGGAAATCGAAAAACCAACATCTTTGGGTTATAAGACAGATGTTTGCTTTTTGTGGCCGATGTGTATTGTTTGTATTGTAGGAGCTGTTTGAGTTCATGTGTTAAAAAACTTTATTATTAATATATTGTTAAAAAACAAAACAAACTGTATGCCGCAGCAAAAGGCAAAGCAAGCCAAGGTCTTCATATCTGGTTTGGTCTGTGTGTAAAAGCTCTCCACCCTACCACTTCCTGCTGGGCAATAATACCAAGAATACAGGAGTCCCGTTACAAGCCTATCAAGTTACAGGACAGAAAGTATGGCAAACCATACTGACTAATGACTAGACACATGTCAGTGCATATTTTAGTGAAGCCAAGCCAAACACTACATGCTGGCTGCTCTACAGAGACTGAATATCGGACTCATTTTTAGAAAGACTATTCAAAAATGTTTATCAAAGTTAGTTTAACTTCACTCACGGCCACAAAACAGAAAATAACACAAATTATTTGACTATTTACAAAGTTTTTCTCCCATTCACTGCTAACCTGGACTGTGTGGATGGGGTCTCCATGTGGTCAGAAATACCACCCAGGCCTGAATGAGTTAGCTTGTCTTTGATAATGTGTTGAATGTGTCCAGATCTACAACTGTTGCTAAAGCTCCCTTTGAAAACACAGATTAGGAACCTAATCAATATTAAAACAATATATAAAACAATATTTAAAGGGCCGGTTCACCCAAATTATATATAAAATCACTCAACTCTTGTGGTATCTAGCCATGGAGATGAGTTTTTGATTTAATGATATTACTTCTGAGATTCCTTTCTTCATCCCAGTACACTGGAGGTGAAGATAATATAATCTGTGGAGCATTGAAACATTTTTTGTCAACAACTTTGGGACAATTACTATAGCCCTGATGAAAAACTATTCACAACACGGTTTGTTGATTATCATGAGTAATGGAGACACTAATGCCAGAAAAAGGCTGCTGAAAAGTTTAAATCTAAGTTTTCAATGCTGTGAGTGCTACATATAGTGCTACATTCATAATGTTGCACTGTGGTGGTGGCAGAAATCTCCTGGACCAGGACATAAAAGCCAAATTGTTGGATTAAAAAGGCAATTTTCTATGTCTATTCACTATTTTCTGTCTTAGCAGGTCAACCAATCAAGATTAATGGCAAATTAATTGATCACAACATCAGCCATAATGTTTTTCATCATAATATATAAAGATTTTCCTACAACACAGCTAAGGTAGCTTTATTTAATTCATTGCTTTTTGTTCTTACAGTGCTGTAAAGTGTAATTTTAAGTCAGTACACATCTAATATGCAACACATCAACTGAATACCTTAATGTAAACACTCCAAACAAAGCATAATGAATACTGAAACTGCTTCAATGTGTGTATGTTTATTTCCCCAACGATCATATTGATGAACAGAACAGGAGAGAACTCTGAGTGTAATTGTATATACGTCGTTTCATGGACATAATGTTAAATGACACAGTACCAGAATGAACACACCTCCCCACCAATTAGGTTAAATTAAAATCTATGGCCTATAAACTACTGCTTCATCCACCTGAGGATAAATTAAGTCTGTTGTACAAAAGGGCAGTGCTAGTATATAGAATACATTTTCCAATACAAATACTTTTTTACCTTTTTGAATTTCTCCTACAGGCCAGTAATCAAGATTTACATGAATAGTAGCTGGTTGATATCACTGCTATCATATTGCTCATGAGTCTTCACAAGAAATGATGACATCATGTGAAAGGATTATGGATCTTTCACCACAAAATATGTAGTTGCTAATATTGAAAAATGTTCTTCCCATAAATATAAAGGTTTTTGTGCAATTTCCAACTGTTTCTCTCATTGGAAAACTTCAGTTAAGACATTTCCAGGTGTTCATAAAAATCCCACATTACTAGAAATAAAATTAAGATTGTTCTTCAATAAAACATTTAAAGGAACACTTATCATTTGCACTGAAATGGCAATTTCTGGTTTGAACTGTCATAAAAAGAAGACTGCGTTCATCAGAAAACGTTAATAAGAAATCTTGTACAGTTTTTAGATTAGCCACTAAAAAGCAAACTAGCATATATCAAAGTATACTAGCCCAGACAGGGCGTTCCGTACAAAGGTGCTTTGTATGAAGTTATTCAGGGCTTACTTCGTCACCATTATCTGAGCTGTGAAAACAAAGACATGAAATCAAACATTTAAAAAGGAATATCTTTAACACTGTTGTAGCGCACCTAGCACTGTGATGCCTTACTTACAGTGATATAGGCTCCCCACGGCTCCATAGTGTGCTGGGCTGAATTCTGAACCTTGCTAGAAAATTAAAGATTTGAGCAACTCGTTCAAGCAATCTGACATATAAAAATCTTTTAGACACCTTTTTGATTCTTAAAGTGCAATCTCTCCCACAGTGCACACAATAGCAGCCACCCACAATCAACTATTTTGTTTCACACCCGCACAGATTTAAAAGATTAAACCTGTGTTAGTGATTTCAACAGGAAGGTGTTTTGAAAGAATATAGGCATATGCAAATGTACAGATAAGTAAAAAAACAAAATCAATAATAGTAGAAATAGTCTCACTGAAAAAAATACTACTTGCTAGGAAAACCAAAATCATTCCCCAAAGTGCATCTTTAACATGAAGTAAATAATACCGATACAATAAAATACATATGGTAAGTTTGTAAAACAAGGAATGGGTACCAAATTATGTATCAGTTTCAGTTTTAAGACATCATTTTTTGGTTAATACATACTATAGCTTTCCTGGGATATTCATTACCCCAGCAACACTGTTCTAAAGAATCCTGCTCACCATAATCCTGGAAAATCTTGCTCCAATGTTGGCTTTAATGACAAAGGGAATGATGGCAAGAAGAATGCACAAAAGAAGAAATCCAAAGCAGACCAACTCCCAGCTAAAAGACAGAGATTACTGATGAGGGGAAAGTGCCAATCAGAGTCAATCACTGGAGAGCTCAAGCCTTGTATGCTTATGTTTGATTGCAGCCACCAGAGGGCAACAGGATTACCTTTCCTCCCCACATCAGCAAACCAACGGACAGAGTGGAGAAACAAAATCTTCCCAGCCTACTCTACTTCTGAGGCATCGCTTTCAGAGGGGAGGTAGTTGCTGCCTTTTACCCGGATGTAATGGACGTGGCCATTGCCATGGGTTGAGGAGGCGCCACAGGAGCAGAGCTGACCAGCGAACAGGTTCTCGATGTCCTCCAGCTGCAGGCCCTGCGTCTCTGGGAGGCAGCCCTGGACGAAGAGGAGACCCAACACCACCAGCCCTGTGTACATGAAGAACGCCCCTGGAAAACAGATTAACATGTACGCTGAGCTTTGGCTGCCAGTCTTAAAATAAAATCATTAGAACTATTAACAAGCAAGATGTGAGCAACACAGAATCTTTTATAAGCAGTTTATGGTCTGACAATGTATTTACTATCACCTGACCTTCTGACCTCCAGTCTTACCATAATAGGTCAGGAACTCAGCGACGTGAAGGAAGGTCAGAGACACCAGAACGTTGAAGATCCAGTTGACCCCGGCTGAACAGGCGTTGCCGGTGCTGCGGGCCCACAGTGGGTAGATCTCGGAGTTCACTGTCCAAGGCATGGGGCCCATACCTAACACACAAAGGCATTCTTTAACATTGTTTAATATTCACAAGAGTAATATGCACTGCCTGTTTCACTGATATCAGGGAGGTGGCAATACATAACGTATTTGTTATTCTTCCTGATAATACACATAATAATTGTTGGTTTAGGTATTTGTTAACAATAAGATATTTTGTAATGTTTAGAATAGCAACCCCTTTAACTGGCAATTGTTTTCTCTGTTAGCCAAAATGGTTCTTGTTGCTGTAAGTGAAAGGTGTGTAATATTTCTGTGGTTTTATGTGTTGTACATGTATTGTATCAATATATATATTTCTTTCAAGACACTTTCTTTATGTGGAAACTAGCTCAGGAACACTGTTGAATGGGAGATGTTTGAAAAACAACGAGAGAGTCGTTTCAGACCTGGAGCAAAGAATGCAAGATAGAGGATGAGGCCCAACAGAACGATCCAGGAGTAGGATGTTGGACAGTAGTTGTAGGCCCAGATCGGGCTGTCAGTTGGGTCTGTCTGGTTGGAACAACTGGGTGAAAGATACATCAAGTTTTAAATTTAATTTACACATGATTCTGTATCCTAGAAAACACAGTTAAGCTTAAGCTTTAGGGATGCTGAAAGTGATCATATACTCTCCGTCATGCCACCACACAGATAATCAACTGTCTGACCTTCCCCAGGCGGCGTGATCTGCGGACGCTGGGCTGACAGGGACACAGGAGGAGTCGTACACTCTGGTGCCGTTTTCACGATAACAAAATCCACAGTCCGAATCCAACATGCAGGATTCACATGACCTGGAGGAAAGAGCTGAATGTAAAACCTCTCACATACTAATCAATCTATGTCCACACAGGGATGTCACACTGTTGACTGAGCAAAAGACAGGCACACATACCACTCTGTCAGCAGAAATAACTCAAGCCTTTGAAAACAACGAAGATAGTGAAGCTTTACGTACATCCAGTTGGAAGCAGTGTTCACGGATGCAGCAAGAACAATGAAATGGATTAATACGCTTAATAGGATTTTTGGTCAAATTAAGTGAATACAGGTACCTCAAGGAGTTGTATTTAGTTAGTTGTATTAAGTGCTGTTTTTGTATTTTAATTATATGGGTAGCTCAAAAAAGCCCTTTGGATATTCTAATATCTTTCCATTAGAAACAGGACTTGTGTGGGGATGAAATATACTTTTTGACACTGCTCATAAAATCATAAAAGTTACCAGGAGCAGCTTTGATATCATAAACTGTAACTTCACAACCTACTTTCACTCAAGACCCCTTATAAACATGAATTTTTTGAAGGCAATTATCTACATTTCCTGGAACAAGACATTTCCCGCCTTTCAACAACTCTTTGAAAGGTGCTCAGACATTATGTATTCAGCCCTGAGTTACGTGTAGACAAAAAAGTGTTGGTAATAAGGAGGTGAGAAAGACTAAGGACTGTGGCTTACATCACTGTAGAAAATGTTCTTTCTGACTCGTCTACAAGGAGTTTCTCCATTTATGATGCAAAATTGAGAGACTAGAAAGAAACTTTCACTCTTTGGGGCTGTTAAAATATCACAATATCACAATCAAACCAAAATAACATTGGACCAGCAATATTTTGATATGAGGTCAAACTGCCTACATATGCTGGTTGTCTGGATGAATAAGAAAGACTATAAACCAATATCTCAAAATGAAAATGAATGGTTGGTGGGAAGAATTAAAATGACAGCAATGTGGCTGTGGTGTGTTCTCCTACCCATATAGCCTGCAGGATGAGTTCTGGGAGTCGACTGGATGGAGGGTAACGGGCGGAGAATTCTGGGCAGACAGCAAGAACCCGACTGCCAACAAAGTCAGGCTGAGACCAGTACCTGGAATAGAGAATTATTCTATTTTGTTTTGGATTTATATACTAATTACGTTTAACTAATCACTGGGATGTCACAGATCAGTCATTTAGTGAAATGAACCAACTATCAGTCGAGTAATTACTGCACACTCTCCAAAGGACAAACCTAAAAGACTGCCCAGGGTCAGCTTCCTGCGGCCCACTCTCTCCACAAGCCAGACTCCAACCAAGGTGAACACAAAGTTGGTAGCAGCAGTTGCAGCAGCCAACCAGATTGCCTGATTATCATCCCTCACCCCCGCCATCTGCAGGATGGTTGCACTGTAGTACCTAGATATGGTCGAAGAGGTTCACTGAAAAGCCAACTCAATTTACGTTGTTTTTTTCTCACAGTTAGACAGGTCAGGATTCTGACTTATCACTTGAGCTTTCACAGTAGAGGGTGGTGTTATCAGGCAGAAGGGAGCAATTACAAGCTAAATGGATGACCTACATGACGGTGTTTATTCCAGACAGCTGCTGAAACATCTGCAGGCCACAGCCAACGATGAGAGCCCTGCGAGTCGGACCGTGGCGAAGGATCCGCAGAATAACAAGGCCTCCTACAGAACAAACAACCAAAAATCTTAATATCGTAAGTATTAAAATTTTAACTAGTGTCAGAGACATTCATTTTTATTTTGTTTTTACAGACATTTTTCACCTCCACCTGCTTCTTTCTCCTCTTCCTCGATGCTGGTTCTGATGGTGTCATACTCCTCATCAATGTTCTGGCCTCCTCTTATCTGGCTGAGAACCCGACGGGCCTCCTGGCCCCGGCCCTTTTGGAGAAGCCAGCGGGGGCTCTCCGGCAGGAAGAAGAAGCCGACAAACTGCAGCACTGCTGGGACAACAGACAGACCTAACATGTACCTACAGTATGGAGAGAACAAGGAAGAGTGAAGGGGAGAAGAAATGTCACCACTTATTCTACTTTTGTTGGCTTTAACTGGATACTCTCAGAATTACCCCTGATACAATAAAACGGTATTGTGAGCAAGCGAACATTAGTTTTAAAGAGTTGTGACCAAAATATCTTATCACTGAAAAGTACACAAAATTGCCTAATATTTACCTGTAATATCTTTACTGCAGTTTTATCCCCACTATTTTGCAATAACAATATATCTGGGATAAGCTAATATTGGCAATACCAATGTATCAGTCAGGCACTTTGCAAACACTTTTAATCAATGATATCAGAGAAGTGTCAGGGCTTGTGTACACAGGAGGAGTTTAAGCCACATTAGTCGTCCGTCTCGAGTGTGTCTGATGGAACAGATGTGCTCCTATATATTTTAATCAGAAACAGCTGTCTACAAATGTCTCATGATATATGTGCGTAATCAAAACCTGCAAGGTATTTTTAATATGCTTCAAGTCTATTTACTTCAGTATTATGAGCCTAACTTCAGGGAATGTGTGTTCTGGGCACTGCCAAATCCCTGGTGACCTACATTCAATGCATCCTGTGTAGACTCAGACAGAGGAGTGGAGCTGCTCCTGCTCTGCTAACACACTGCTGTCACTACTGCATTGTGTCACTGAGGTAGGTAGTGAACCCCTGAACTGGTTGGACATCATCAATATAAAGCATTTATGGATAACTTTCACAGCTAAATTCTGCAGTGAGTTTACCGAGTGAGTGCAACATGTCTAAACAAAACTAAAGCAAACCTTTGTCATGGACAGTTACTCACATGGTGGACGGTGTAGTAGAACCAACACATACCTCCAGCCGTCGTGGCTCATGTAGCTGAAAGCTCCATCAATGACACTGGCAATTAACTGGCCACCGGTGATGAAGAGGGAGTTGATGGTGACCAGCTGACCTCTCTGGTGAGAGGGGGAAATTTCAGCAATGTATACAGGAACTGTCATGGAGGCTATGCCTGATGAGGGAAAAGAAATTGTTTAATTTTGACATACACAGAACAAGTTTCCCACACATTTTATACATCCATTTTGGTCTAAAGTCTGTAACACAGTGCTGTGCTTCCTTCAGGCAAAAACAAGGCAATAGTGATACTGGAAGAGCAGGTCAGGTGGGGTGAGGTTAGAGGTGGCTTGGGAGTAGACTTTGTATCTGCTAACTAAGTTTAAAATAGCAGGGGGTGGTAATGTAAAGAGCTGAGAAGAAACCTTGTGACCGCTGCTCTGAATACCTTTGCAAACTTTAAAAAAGTGAACAGGGGAACTGATAGGGTGACATTTTACCAAAACACTGCTTTTGATTGACCTCACAATGAGGAATTAAAAATGTAGAATTAGATAAGAAGATCATTTTACCAAAGAAACCATAAACAAACTTCTGGATCTTCAGTATAGCTGATGCCAATGTTGATGTCTCAAGGCTTTTTCATAACGTATGCCATCACCTCACTTCACACCAACTCACCTATACCCAAACCGACTACGATTCTGCCCACGAGAAGAACCACCTTGTCCGGGGCCAAACTCAAGATGACGCCACCGGTGCTGAAGATGAAACTGGCCAAAAGGATGCAGATCTTGCGCCCCAGCCACCCGTTCAAGAAGCCTCCACTTAGGGCGGCGAGTGCTGCAGCCCCAACGGTACTGGAGACCAGCAGCTCCTGCCACAGATTGCTCAGTTTCATCTCCTTCTTCAGGAGCAGCATGGCTCCGGACACCACGCCAGTGTCGTACCCGAAGAGAAATCCTCCCAGGGCAGAGAAAAACGCCAGCACATAGATGAAGCCCGGCGTGGAGGGATCTTTGTCCAGGAGGTCCCCAGCGGAGGCAGAGTCCCCAGATGGGGGCCCAATGAGACTCCGCTCTCCATCATCTATTGATTTCTGTCTCCTACTGCCCATAAGGTTGCTCATGTACTTCAAGCTGTATTCATCGTGGCTGCTGGACATAGAGGACACCAGGGGTTAAGATCACCAGGGGCTAGTTCAACAACCTCTCTGTAGCACTTATTGCTTTACTAATAAGGTACAGTCTGTTGTTGTTGTTGTTGTTGTTGTTGTGTGCAGAAAACTCATTAGAAATAGCAGGGTTGAGAAAAGGTGGGCCCACACAAAATGATATATTAATGAGGCATTGTTTTCAATACCAGCCGTCCCAGTAACATGCAGCTGATGTGTCCGACCTGTGTGTGTGTTTCGGTTCAGCTCGAAAGAAGAAACAGGGAAGAAGACAACACGTCAAGATCTTAAGAGCTAACTTAGCTACACGTTAGCTGCTAAATTAACTACCGATGCCGTTCAGTGATAAGCCCCCCCGGTTGTTGGCTGTTAGTACGGTAGATTTCACTGTCATGTCATCAGAAATGTGCCTACACGGTGCAGTTTATTGGCTGTGACCTGACTCCACGGGATTGTTTACCACTAGCAGTGCTAGCTCCGCGCTGCTCCAGTGTGCGGCCATGTTGACGGGACGTCAGCTGACTGCCTCGGTGCCGCTGGAGGAAAGTTATTGTTATATATATATATATTTGATTTTAAATAAGTCACAGAAGTGTCTTTTAAAAGAGTTCGACGCTGTTATCCCTCCAAATTAGTTTAGCACAGATTTAAAAAGGACACTGGTGTACCGTGCTCATTTATTTTGGTCTTAATGTTTGTGCTTTTATTTCCCAGTTTATTGTTTCTGATTTGACCCTTTTATATAAAAAAAAATGTGTTGTTTGGCTTTTTTTCTTACCCTTCTACGTAAAGAAATCAGTATTATCATCAAGTTGATGTCCTTCTTTATGCAAAATTCCTCATCCATAAATCTAAAACTTCCAATTATAAACCAACCAAGTGAAATCAAACAATACAGTGCATACTATACTTACTATACTGTGAAAATAAGAAAGCAATGTAAACTTTAAGTTTATTAACCTTGTACAATTTATTGAACTAATTTATGATTTCTGTCTCTTCACCTGTTTGTATATAAAGACAAAAGAAAGGGTTTTCTTTTAAAGAAAGAAAGAAAAGTACCACAACTAGCTATTCATTTGTAAGATGCGTCATCAGCGTCCAAATTAAATCATTATGTGGGAAATGTCCCTTTTGAACATCCAACTTATTACTTACAAACAAAACGGATCTTTCATTTGAGTGAATCATTCTTCATGAACACATGTTATAAAACAGACCATTTACTTACCAACTCCAGTGTGTGAGAATGTTCTGGAGTATTTATTGCTTCATGTATTGACTCCAAGTACAGTTATAAACCACATGCTGAACTTTAAAGGTGAAAAACCACAGTGGTTACACAAGCTCAACCCACTATTTAAATTCAGTCATCAAATATCTGCCCATAACATTTGCCTCTGCACTGTGCGATGATTTACCGCACTGAACAGCTGACAGGTGGGGCTACACGCTGGCACATTAAATATCACTCATGATAGATTAAATATTAAACATCGACATGAAACAGAAACTCTGTATTAACTAAACAGATGTGATCTGTGCAAAACAACTGGAACTATACCTCTGAAAAGCTTTTGGTTTTTTTTCTGGAGCAGCCTACTGCAGCAGCGTCTGTCCTCTTCAACAAACGGAAGTTTGTCTGATGACTCCGGATCACTCACATGATGTTACCACAAAGGAGGGACCCGCCCATTTCCAGCAGAAAACAGTTTACCTGTTCTTCCAGTGGTCCTCACACGGCAGAGCAGACAGCGCTGTTCACCCTGTCTGTCCAATAATCTGTCAGAAACAGCGGGGATTTGCATTGCTCCAAACAGATGTGAAGGCTGTACAGTATTTGCAAACTGCCACAACATATTTTCCTATCAGCTGTTACTTATTTGCCTTTGAAGACTAAACAGTGAGGTTTTGTTGAGCAAGTTAATGCATTCTCCTTTTCTTTTCTTTTTTTTTACAAGGAGATCAGGTGACCTGTTTGTCTTTCTGTTTGGTTATTTTGTCACATTTGCCATTTACAGAAGTTCTATTTTTAACAAATCTGGATTAATATAATTTCTCATATGAAGATTATTTTAATGTGTTAAAATACTAAATCAGATCTTCAGCCACTTTCTTTCACTTTTAAAAAAATTAAAAATCTAATCTTAATCTGACTCATATACTACTATTATTATACGTAATACTATGATAATATTACTATTAATGAATGGGGAATGAGTCAATGTAAGTTAGCAGCACAACGACCCTACACGCTGACCCTGTACCGTAGTTACGCTGCTAGATGCGCAGCACAAAACAAAGACGATGGTGGCAACAGAAAGAAGCTAAGATTTTCTTCCATTAATCTGAGTTTTGTGTGAAGTCATGTAAGCCGAATTTAGATATATGTTCCAAGCAGTTGTACAAAGATGTAATATTTGATCTTCGGGCTACCTATATTTGCCCATTCACAAACTAACGCCACAGTGGGTATTTCTTTTAATGAAATACGGCGCAAATCAGTGCCAAGTTCCGAATCGGTAAATCAGTAACTGACATCAGACACCGGGGTGGGAGACAGCTTGTAGACCGCATATATACCACCAGACAGCCCTTGAACGTGTAGCTGTCATTCCCAACCAGGCTAATGTGAGTTAAAACGACCCGGTGATTTAAAGTGCGACAGGAAGAAACCGGGCTATGCGTTGTTGTTGTGTGGCAGTTGACTGTCCGTGCCACAGTGCTGCTGCTGCTGCTGCTGCTCCGCGGTGTCTGCTGCCAGTTTCCTCTTGAACAAACGGGAAGTTTTTCTGGGCCGGAGTCATATGATGTGACTGTAAGGAAGGAGGAACACGCCTGTGTCAGAGGGTCACTTTATTTCCTCCCACAGAAACCACAAAAAGTCTCCCAACTCCACAAAGGGGAAGGTGTTTCTCCGCCAGAGGAAAGTGAACCGAGCATGGTGATGTCAACGTCGGAACAGAAACTCAGCTTCCCCAGTCGTGACAACTTAGCCACTTTAGCTGTACTGTAGCTAATGTAACGTGATGCAACACGGCTAGCATTCACTAATGTAATGTAATGTGAAGTGTGGATACAGTGGCGCTTTACTCGTCTTCTTCCCATGCTACTGTAGCCATACTGTAGCGGCCACTCAGACCCGGTTGTGGTCGGCTGCTCGGAGAGGGACTGCACCGACTGACCTAAATGCACGTCAACTCGTCAGCTGGAAAACGATATTTCAAAGACCATGGTTAACAAAGAGGAGTTGGAGGAAAGGCTGAAGAAACTGCTGGTGAGGCTGAACACCCCGCAAGAAGACAGACAGCTGTGCACGCTGATTCAGATAATCCAGGATCTGCTTTTCCTGGCGCACACCGACGATGGTAGGAAACACATTGTCCCCGCATGTGCATCCTGCTGCTGCTCACACACAGGCCGTGTTGTCTGACTTATGTGGGGTGAAGTAACTAGTAATGCCACAGTGGAGAAGTATAACACACATATACGTAGTTGACTACTAGTTTAACTGCTAGATAAGTAGTAGTAAGTGTATTTATCTGACTTGTGCTGTTTCTATATTGTGTAGTTTTACACTCAGGTACTTTTACTCAACACATAATTGTAGTTTTCAGATAAAGATATGACTTGATTTGGTGTGGGTGGTTTAATTCAACATCTGTTTTTTAATATTAGGCTGGTACACCCTAATTTAACACAATGCATAGTTCACCACTTGACTCACTAGACTACATATTTGGATTTGTGCTATTGTTAAGCTTTGTTATGCGCATTTAAAAATAGAAATGAACGTGAAAGACTGTTCCTTCAACGCTATCTTGTCACATCACGTCTTCTTATCTTTTGCTCTGTGCAGCAGCTGAACTGTTTGAAGACAAAAATGTTCATGTCCCCCTCATGGTGGTGCTGTCGTCCTACATCAGCAGCAAAGGAGTCCAGCAGGTACCTCACAGATCTTTGATTGATCTTTGAGTGCTTTACTTTTGCACCAGCAGTGTGTTATTCTTTCACAAACAAATCTTGAACTTTGTCGGCCTAAACAGAGAGAAGACCGGCTTTAAACAGCTTATTCAAATGACAAATGTCCTGACAAAGTAAACACACATGTGTTGAAGTGTGTACAACAGCATCGTCTGCTCTGTGTACTGCACTTTGCCTTCTCGTGACTACTGTATGCTGCAGCTTGTCAGAAGAGGGACTGCTGCATGGCACAAAATGAAAGTCAGATTGTGAGACTTATGAGCTGACTCGGCCGTAAAAGACTCATTTAGTTCCAGTCCATGAGTACTGGAGTGCCAAAGCATTTTAATGGGCTGGTGTGATCCATTGGTCTCTAGTTTTTCTTTAGTTTTATGTGGATTGTCTTACTGGCCTTCGCACTTCTAACCTAAGTCTGTGACGATGTAATCTTCTTGCCACAGGTGGGTTGGTCATTGCTGTGTCGAATGATTGAAATATGCCCCAGTACACTGGACCAGCTGACCAGACCTCTGCAGGCAGCCAAGGACTGGGAGGTACTGGGAGTGCACCAGTAAGTAAAGACTACTAATTGGGGGCTGTTGCTGCTGTCATATGACACTAATGGCTTGTGTCACATGACAACATCATACCACACCAGCATAGTAGCATTCATGTTCAGAAGAAGTCATACATTCATTGATTTGAGTAAGTCTATATAGTATATTCCTGTACACTGTATCTTTGACCCAAACTAGGGCAAAGCAATGTCAGTGTTTTCATCATTTTGTCCTTTTTTAGCTTTAGCTTTAGGGATGGCAGTGTTAGTCTGTCGGTCCACCACTTTGGTTCAGTCTGAAAAAACTTGGATGGATTGTCATTTTGTTGACATTAATGTTTCCCGGAGAATGAAGCCCACTGACTTTGGTGATCCCCTGACTTTTCCACTCGCGACACCCTGGGGTTGACATTTATGGTATTAAATAAAATGTCTACAACTGTTGGATAGATTGCGATGATATTTAGTACAAACATTCATGTCCCCTTCCAGGTAAAATGTGATTATATTGGTGATATGTAATTTTTCATCATCTGGTCAAAATTGTAGTTGCTAATTGCCAAATGCAAATCGTTAAAAGTCCAGTGTGTAGGATTTAGTGGCATTTAGCTGTGTAACTGCAGATTGCAACTCCCTCGATTCACCCTCCCCTTCCAAGCACAAACAGAAACTATAGTGGCTGTGAAACGCCCCTACCTAGACACAGTGTTTGGTTTATCCCTTCTGTTTCTGATTCTTTAAGCCAGGAACACAGACATTTGAGTGCGAAAACTCTCAGCTTCACACATTTAATTTTTGCAGATTGCAGTTGTTGACAAGTACACTGTGTTTTGGATCAGGTAAAGGTAATCATCATCAGCATGTAAAGAAAAAAACAACCACAGCTATATTGACCCTAAATCAGAACAGGAAACAAAAACATAACGATTCTTATATCCAGGTGATTATACGATAATGAAAACAAACCTATGTATATTATATTCCATTTCTGCCAATAGAGCATCCTAAATTATACACACTGGACCTTTCTATATTGGTGAACATTGTAAATGGTTTTGCCAGTTACCTAACATTTCTTATAACCGTTACTTTAATTATATGTTGGTAATGTTGGTTGTCATATTGAGTTTAATGAATTTGAAGAATATGTGTGAGATCAAATATATTTAGTAGACATTGATATAATATAATTGTGTCCAGGTGTAAAGGCATCATTCTGCTGGGCACTCTTGGACAAAGTATCAGTGAATTTAAGCCACTTTACCTTTCTTTACCAATTTGTCCTAAGTTAATAGATTTTGACTCTCTGATGTTCCAGATCCAAATTATACTGATAACATTTTCAGTTTTCAGTTCCTGTTTATGTGTAATCGATTCAACAGGTCATATATTACCACAGTGTCAGTTTTGCCAGATGACCTTTCAGGTCCTTTGTAATGCTGTCTAACATCTTCTCCAAAGCAATTGTGTTCAACCAAGCTCTTTGATTTTCTTCAGTTCTTGTTTTAGGCCATGTTTCCCCTATTTCTAGTCCTAGTGTTAACAATAAGGAAGTTATGGAAAATATTTTATTAATATGGAAGTGTATAAAATCAGCGTGTAGTTTAAAACTGTTTTAAAATATGAAGTATATCAACTAACTAGCTTTAAGTCTGCAAAAGTTAAGACCTTGCTTGCAAATGGTAAACAGTTTTAACTACCTCAAGTCTTAAATCCCTTTGTCCTGAGTACAGCCCTGGTTAATGTTTTGCCTGTTCTGATGTGTTTTCCAGGCAGATCCTGAAAGCACTGTCTCAGTACAGAACGGACTGTAAAGTGACCATGGTTGGACTCAGAGCCCTGGCTCTTCTGCTCAGATCAGGTACACGACTACATAGGAAATATTCTACAACACATTAGGAAATCACTCCTGCTACATATATCACCAGCACAGGCGCTAAAAGATTGAAAGTCAATTTAATACCCTTTTCTGTTCATATCTAAACATCTGTTTGGAATATTGAGGTTTATGTTATAATGTACTAATGTCATTAAACCAATACAAAAGGAATCTTGAAAGTAAATAAAAACAAAACCTTTTAGGAAGGAAGAAGATAATAATTTAAATATAAAAATAGTTGCAAACATCAGAGAACTGCAGTCCACGTGTAATTATCTGGCTCTAAATCTGTGTGTGTGACAGGGGTTTCCATATGTAGTGTGTAGGGTTCCCCTACTTTAATGAAACTCATTGTCCTTTTGTAGTTTATTAGAGCTACATCTCTGTCCTTAAATAATCTCTTTAGTTATGGTCATTTATAATCTAGTGTGCAGCAAGCTATATGTCATCATGCTTGTTTAATGTGAAGCTTCTGAGAAAAGCAGAGGTTAAACTCTGACATGTGATGTGCACTACTTATCACATGACACATTTTGTTTAGTTTGGAGATAAAAAATTATAGTTTAAATGGTTTTAAAAATTCATAACTGATTCGTGGCCCTAAAGGTTCTCAGTTCTTTAACAACTCCTGTTTAACACTTGTAAATGACTGTAAAGGTCAGAATTCAACCTGTTTAAAATGTGTTCTTATGCTTGTTTAATTCATGGCTATGTAGACATGATTCCTCTGCTGGTGCTGGAGGAGGAAGAGGAGGAAGTGTTTGGCCTGGTGGTGCAGGCGATGAAGACGTTTCCTACCAGTGAAGAGGTGCAGCTCCAAGGCTGTGGAGCTCTGCAGTTCCTCCTGGAGGGAGGTGAGCAGACGCATACACTAATCCTATATGTCTTAATACTCTACGGCAGGTATAGCCTACCCTATCCTACAGTAGTGTCATATAGGTGTTTCTGGTTCTGTATTAGACAATCAGTGACACTTTTATTCTAGTATATATTATCAGCCTATAGTCTATAACAGTCTATAGCTATGTTTGGAGTCCTGTGAGGCTGTAAGTCTCATTACAGAGGAGTGATGCTTTGTTATTTATTTCTTAACACTAGAGGTGAAACGCATATATAGTTTGGCATTGGGGTTGTTCCATAGGAAAACCTAAATTAAACGAGTTTGCGTATTGTTTATCATCTGTAAATTGGACATTTTTATCATCAGATTAGACTCGACCTTAGCTGCACTCAGGCTAATGCTAACATTAGCGTCCATCTTGGAGCACATGTAAGAGCAGCAAGCTAACCTGCTAATATGCGAACATCAGCAGGTTAACATGCTGTTAGCTGTTTATATTTATGTCAACACTGTTAAAGGTTAACATGCTCACATTTAGCGTTTAACTTGTAGCGTGTTTGCTAGCTAATGTTTGTACCTGCATGTAAAATGTAGCATTTTCTGTATGCCAATGTAGAGAAACTGAATATCTTTCTATTTTTCTATCTGTGTCTGTGTTTATAGTAAGCGATGAGCACCTCGTGGAGTTTGTGGAGAACCAGGATCATGTTGTGGTTCTGGCGGCTCTACAGAGGTTCCCGGACAGCCCTGAGTTGCTCCAGCAGGCCATGAAGGTGCTGCTTCCACTGTCTCGTCCTGGTGAGACCCCATTACACCACAATACTGTTTATGAGATCTAAGAGGGAAAGAAAAGAACTGGAATACTAACATTACTACTTGATTAGTAAAAAGGGATAGTATGTAAGTGCTCTTCATTGATCTCATATTGATTGATTGATCTCTCAACATAGTGCAGACAGTGGCAGAATCAAGAGTCAAGGTTTGGTTTGATCCATAGTGTTGTGAGGGTGAATGGATGGATTCAGTGCAGTTCTCTGGATGTGGAGAGGTTTAGGAATGTGTGCTTGTACTCTATTAATATAATGGTGGATGTGTTACACCACTTGTTGATCATGAAGATCAATTAGAAGAAAATTAGATATAAACCGCTCTCTTTGTTTATTTCACACAGCCTATTTCTAGCCTCCCACTAGACCATGATGTCACTGTAATACTTTTTAAACAGCCATGATATAAATTAGATTATACAACAAACGCCACTAAACGTGTGACATTGTGCTGCAGAGTCAGAGCATCTGTTTGTGGGACAGGAGAGCTGTGTTTGTTGAAAATTGTCAAATCTGATCTGGAAATTCCCTCATGGTGAGGAACACAGCAACTCCTTCAATGACTACTCCTTGTATTTACTATCCAGATAGTTGTATAACAGATAATTGCCTTTGAGTCTTCCAGCATTTCCATTAAATTTTATTTTTAATTTCTGAACAGCAAATGCAATTATCAGAATGCAAGGAAGCCCCCGAATCCCTGAATTACAGGTATTCCTAAAAACAATAAAAAGTAGAAAAAATAATATAAATGTCCAGGAAATGTATTTCATTTCAGTCTGTGTCAGTTGGTCAAATTTGTCAACACAAGAAGCACAAGGAGACTTTTTTTTTGTTTTTTTCGTGACCTTTTCAGGTCTTTTGTAATGCTGTCTGACATTTTCTCCAAAGCACTTTCTTTCTTGTTGTTTTAGGCCATGTTTTCCCTATTTCTAGTTCCAGTGTTAACCATAGTGATGTTATAGAAAATATTTTTTTGACCTAATAATATGGAAGTGTGTAAAATCAGCGTGAAGTTTAAAACTGTTTTAAAATATGCAGTATATCAACTAACTAGCTTTAAGTCTGCAAAAGTTAGGACCTTGCTTGCAGATAGTAAACAGTTTTAACTACCTCAAGTCTTAAATCACTTTGTCCTGAGTACAGCCCTGGTTAATGTTTTGCCTGTTCTGATGTGTTTTCCAGGCTGATCCTGAAAGTATCTCAGTATAGTATAGTATACTGTTTATTGAGACTGGATGTCTACATGGCGTTGAGTCAATGTGTTTGTATTGTAATACCTAATATAACTGAAACTAAACAGAATTGAACACAAAATAAAAGCTAATTACAAAACTATAATAACTCTGCCTCAAACACACAGTACCGTTGTTATTTATACACTGCAATATCTTGTTACTTGCAATCTATCATATGTGCAGTTATTAGAGATGTATCTGTGATAACCTAACAATATTGGCCATGCTAATGTTATGGCTTTTGTAGTGCAAAATAGCAGTGTTCCTTAATTAGCTGGATGATTTCTGCATGAAATGTGGAGCTGGACATGAAAAAATGTAGAAAAGTGGACGTGACAAAGTTTCAGTCATGAACATTTTTTCCACTTTAATGTGTTTTTTTCACGGATGTATGATTTATCACAGCCATGGGAGATTCCAGGCTATTTGGAGATATCACTCTTTTCTGACCTTATTCTTGGTTTTTCTTTTTTTTGCTATCTTTCTTTTGTTGTGTTGTGTTGTGTGTCAATAGGTTTTTGGTTTAGGAATCCTAAATAGTTTAGTTGGTATTTCTAATCAGTTTACTTATACTATGTATACTTTTTATTTTATGTAACTATAGACTAATTCTTATTTTACATATTGGGATATTTCATGCTGTGTAGTATAATCCTGAAATATCACTAAATATATATTCGTGATTGCAGACTAAAATCAAACCCAGCCAAAACATGAAGGGTGACAAATGCAAAAAGCCGAGACAGATTCAAACATCAACATTTCTGAGTTTGTGAGCTTTTCTCTTCCAGGCAGTAACGTGGAGATGTTGATGTCGGGGGGTGCTCGGTGCTACAGTGTGATCATTGCTGCAATGGATGCCTTCCCAGAGGTGGAGGAGTTGCAGGAGACGGGCTGCTGCCTGTTCAGGAGGTTTACATCAGGTCAGACCCAAAGGTCCAATGTTTGCCATTACAAACTATAATATATATATATATATACAAATATAAACTGTGTTATAGTCACACTCATAACACTTAAAAACTCTCAGATACACTGTCAATGAATAACTTTGGAGTATCTCCACACTTATTGACCGTCGTTGATGTTAACAATGTTTACGAAATCAATAAATCCTCACTGTCAATAAAGCAGTGTTTGGATTGTGTTCATCCTGATAATCTAATGTGTTTGCCAGTTGACAGGTTAAGATTGAAGAGCTCAGTGGAGGCATCGGTTTAATCCAGGGTGCGCTTGTTTTGTTTCATCTTTTAGAGAGTTACTACAACATCCTGGTACTGAACGGTGTCCAGAGGGTCGCAGTAAGAGCCTGTCAGACTTTCCCTGACAACGCCACACTGCAAGCCGCCGCTCTCTCCTGCCTGGCTGACCTCAGTGAGGACACACGCTCACATGTGTTGTATAACTCATTTATTTATATCCACATAGATGGATTAGAGAGAGACAACAGAACAATGCTTTGACCTCAACATATGTGCTAAATATGAACATCAATAGCTCACCATTATTTTCTTAAGACTTGTGAAAATATATTTTCAAAATGATAGCATATTTGCACTATATACAGTAATTACACCAAACTGTCTCCTTCTGTCAGCTGCAACCATTGTGCAGAACAAAGCGGTAGCCGAGCAGGGTTTGGAGGAAGGAGAGGAGGAGGAGAACAGAGGTAAAGAGGTGGTGGAGGACATGGGCCTGGGCTGGATGGAGGCCTGCTGTAGGGCACTGGATCTCCACGCTGCTGAACCAGCCGTTCAGGTCAGTTCAACTTCTTCTAGCCCTCGAGCTACAGGAAATATTTAACATGGGATCATTTAAATAAGTCTCTGACATGCGTGATTCACTTCTGTTGCCCCAGGAAGCTGCAAGCTGGGCCATTCACAATCTGTTACTGCACGGAGCTGGGGTGGACCATTCAGGAGACGAGCAGGATGAGAGGTACAGTCTGAAACACAAAGCCACGATAGCCTTCTGACAATGTGATTAGTTTCTATCAAAGTTTTTGACTCTTTAACTCTTCTGATAATGGCTTTTTTTTGGGCGCAAAAAAATTACGCAATTAATAACGCAAAACAATAAACAACAGTTGTCTCACCCAAACAGATGCAACAAAACCTCTCGGCTCCTGTCTCCCTCTGTGAATCTGAGCTACTTTATTGTTAGATTTGTCGGGTTTTGAAACCCTCCTAGCAACTTTATTTGTAAAAGCAATTAGTGACTTATTCAAACCATCAGGGAAAAGGCAAGAAATACATACTAATATTAATATGTTGTTATTTATTCCCATGTATTTTGCTTGGCTTTTCTGCCATCAGCGCTGGGTTCTGTCCCTGTCCACGCACACAGGCAGCAGTAGGTGTGGCATGTGGGAAGGGAGGTTTGAGATGAGATGCTTTTCTCTCACTCTTTCTGAATGTCTGGATTAAGATGTTCCTATAGCTTTGTAATATGTGAGGTTTTGTTTGATCTTATAAATAGTTAAATATTTTGATCTCATATATGCATTTTCACTATTTCAAGCCATATTTCCACTGGCTTTAGCACTGTTTGACACTTGTTTTCTCATATGTCAGTTTTAAAGGTTAAAATGTCTGTTTTTCCACATGGAGACTTTGTTAGTAAAAGAAAAGCCAAACAAATGTAATCTCCATTAGAATCAAGAAAATGCAAGAAATCATAATTTGGTGTTGTGCATGTCATGGGGGATGTTTAAGAAATGAGAATGTAATGACATTTGTCGGATATTATATGTGTGTGTGTGTGTGTTTTTCAGGACTCCTGTTCATAGACAGTTAATGGCAGCCATGCTGCTCCACTCCTCCTCGCCCCGTGTGTTTGAAGCTGCTACCAGTGCCATTGCCACACTCATCACACACAACAGTGAGTCTTCAACAGTACACACTTAAACGACTATAATATATATCTTTATCATAACAATGTATCAAATTGAGTGATAAACCTACAGAGAATTATCACCTAAACCTGCAGCTCCCCTCTGCTTTGCCAAGCTTTATAGTTTCAGCTGATTGTGAAGTGTCCCACCCACAACTAGGCATGCCTTGAGAGTGATTCATTGGTTGTTACTGGTGGGGTCGAAGAGAAATAAAGCAAAAACAAAAACAAACAAAAAGCAAAAACGGCATATCTTGGCAAACTAGAAAGTAAGCTGAATGTCCGTGGGGAAAGTAATTTAACATTACCTGACACACAAATCTTGGTTGGAACGGCTAGAATAACAAGTAAGTGTTGTGTGGCTCAGTCTGATCTAATTAGTTAATTTCCTATTTATAGAGCCAGGACTGTGTATAAACACCAGATTTTTTTTTTCAGTGCACACACAGAGCAGAAAGCTAGTGGACCATGAGAAGAAACTTGCTGAATTTGGAAAAAAAAAAAAAGTCTATTGAATTAGAATCTCATACTTAGAGTTGCTTACCCCACCTTTAGATGCTGATGATAAGCCACTGTTGTGTTCACAATTTGTTTCCACTGCCTCCAAGAGGCCAAAAAGATCAGTTATTGGAGGTTTAACATCCAGTGTGCAGAAATGGGACTAAGTGGAGAAACACACATACATGCACAGAAGCAGGGCTCACACTTTAGTTATATCTTATGTAGAATAACATCTCAACATCTACTTTGTATTTTTATCATCATCATCAATAAAATAGACTGATTCAAAGTTTCATTGGAGCTTTCGCTGATGTAGTAAAACCACACTTCTCTAATAATCTGTATAGGTTCAACTATATTCATAAATAGTGTTTGTTGACTTTTATAGTGAATGTCTGCTCTGCTCTGTTTGCAGGTAAAATGCGTTCACTGCTGCTGTCCAGTGGCCTTCACGTCAATCTAGTAGAGATGATGAAGAGACATTCAACCTCAGCTGAAGTTTCCATCAGCGCCTGCAAACTGCTAAACCTGCTCTTCCAGGGAAGGTGGGCACAAACAGTTTCCACTCTATGATTTCCTTGTTGTTTTTACAAAATCACGTAACTATAAAGGACAAAAACATAGTCAGAATGGGAAAAACAGGCACACTGGATAGACTGTTGTTTTTCAAAGATCATCTCCATTTGTGTACAGGCCTTTCTGACTTATTGAAGTAACAAGTAATGAACATAAAGCCAAAAATGTTCAATGTTCCCAAAATGTTCAGAAATAATGACATTCATATTTCATTTTGGAGTGAAACCTGTCTCTTTTTGTCTGTAGGACAGCCAGTCTAGATGAGTTGAACATGGCCATGAGTCAGATCCTCAGTGCAATGAAGATTCATAACTTCCAGCCAGAGGTTCAGCTGGAGGCTCTGCAGGCCAGTCTGGTCTTCCTCTGCCCAGGTATACTCAAGTGGTCTCTTTCTGTTGTGTTTATGCACGGTCCAGAGGTGACCTGTCAATCAAATGTTGGTTGTAAGCTGATCATTTCGGTTAGATTTTTATTTATTTTTTGTTTGCAACTATCTGGTGAAGAAAGTTGAACATGTAACAGAAACATATTTTTCTCTAGATTTGATGGAGGCCAAGCTAAAAGGAGAGTGAATATTGGACTAGCTACTTTTACAAATGCATCACAGTCTATTTAGTGGGCATAAAGCAAGACAAACCTCCCAAACAAAGGTGGATACACTTTCTAATGCTCACTCAGATCATAATTTCTCGAGCTGCATGATGGGTGGTTCAGTGTACTCTTGCTCCGCTCCCACCACTGCACTTATAACACTCCTAATTAGATTAATGATCAATAAGGGAGCGGTTGTTTCTCTGTGTCTGTATGTTTGCTTGCATATTTGTCTTCACTTTTTTCCTTGGTGTGTGTGTGTGTGTGTGTGTGTGAATTCCCAGACAGGAGTTTGAGGGAGCATGGCATCTCGGTCGCAGATCCAGACATGGCCGACGTGTCGCTGAAGGTCCTGAAAAACCAGTGTGTGGTGGAAGGAGCTCACACCCTCTACCTGGAGGTTCTCAACAGGGTATGAATGCAGTAACAAACCCCAGAATATCTCTCTAAAAATCTTTCTTTCAGTCTTTCCACAGTTTTGATATATTATATCTGACCATATATAATATATTAGAAATACAATGATATCACAATAACCAAAAAGAATAGAGGAGGGTAGAGCTTATAAAACACTCTGATGGGAATATGTTTTGCACAGCAGAAGCAGTGTATTCATTCATTCCATAAATTGAACAACAGTTCATCCATTCATTGTAGAAATTATACTGTAGGTTGTTCTGCAACCACAACATCGGAAGTATGTAATTACATTTCCAGTTGACCTACTGGTATTAATTAATGGTGTGCTTGTTTTTTTTTTTTCTCCATGTGGTTGTTTAGTACCCCTCTGCCTGAGGGTTGGGTGGCAAAAAGGGACAAAAACAGCCTCTGAAAAGAGTAGACACAAGACAAAAGGCATCACGTGTCAGTGGGGAAGTCAAAAGCCAACAATTAACTATTATATCTACAACTTTTAACTTCCTTTTCTGCCATATGTGAAGTTTTGTTACAAAGTAAATATAAACCATTGACATTGACCGATGTGACATCTATATTTACGCAATGACTTACAGCAAAAAGCGATTTTATTTGACAATCTTTTTTATGTCAAAAACAACAAAAGAAACAACAGCACTGTTGCTAGTCACTGTGACATGTATATCACAAACCTAGTAAATTACATACAGCTAGCCTTTATGTAGCTCTACACAACGTGTTCATTGTTATCTGTGAATGGTAAAGCATGAAGTTTAAGGCAGTACAGGCTTGGAGGACAAAAGACTGGATCCTATATCTTAAACTTCAAGTTGTTTTTCCAAAGTCGCATATAGCTTAACAATTTATATAAACTTTGTTGCCAGTTTATTAGGTACACCCAGCAAACATTATGCAGTCCAATACATCAGTCATCCTACCTTCCTTAAAAACGATTTTTGTTAATCATTTTTAGATATTTTTTTGTTTTAGGAGTAGCATAATGAGAACTAGTACTACTACTATTACTACTACCTTGTATCCTTGTATGATATTGTGTGCTTTTTGTGTACAGTTTATCAGCAGCTCTGCCATACAGAAGTGTGGCCTGAAGGTGCTGTCTGCTCTGGCTGACTGCTCCGGTGCAGTGGACTTGCTCTGCCAGCAGGGGGCAATAGACACAGTGCTGCATACACTACAGATGTTCCCACAGGAACGAGGTACAGTATACAATTGTCTATGGTCCATAGCCTAAATGAACTCAAATAAGATTTTTTTAACCAGCATTGAAGAGGAAAAATCGGCTAAATCTTGATTTTCAACTCATGTCTGAAACAGGACAGCATACAGCATAGTGCTGGCTCTACAATGACATAGGCAAATACTTGATTTCACACACTGTATGTCGGTCATTAGTCAGTGCTCCATTTTTTCTCTCTTGAGGGCAAGTTTAGAAGTACTTAAACTGTAGTGAATGATAATAAGATCCAGGAAGTAAAAGTGACTAAAGGTGTACACAGACTTGAATATACAGGGGTTGCATAGTGCAATTAGAACAATGCCCTCATTTGAACATTCACAATATTATGATTTCAATGTTAGAAATGACTTATCATGCTTTCACTAATTTCCCAACTTGTTCCAGAGATACACTACTGGGGTCTTACCCTGCTCACCTACCTCGTATCCAAGAAGAAGCTGTCGAGGATGATTGTACCTGTTCTGGCCTCTGTTGTGGTCGCCTCACTCATCCAGTACAGAGAAGACTTTGAGATGCTCCTGAAGGTGACCCGAGTGACAGACTATGCTAAAATGGATCATAGATAGATAGAAAATCACTGTGTTGATTGTTGCATTCCCTTTTTTAATCATCAAGTGCTTAACCTTAAATTAAATTTATATGTAATTCAGATTGACTTGACTTCTCTTTATTATTACTGACTATGTTGTGTGTCCTGCAGTGTTTCCAGGTGGCTCTGAGGATGCTGGATGCCTGTTCAGGAGCAGCTGCTGAACTGCAGAGAGAAGACTTTGATAGGCAGATCTTCCAACAACTCAGAGAGGAGACTCCTGACCAGAGCAACAACCCGGTGAGTTTACACACTTTACAACACTTTCTCTGTGTTTCTCTCTTCTCATCGCTGCACGCAATCAGAGGTCCTTTCCACCCGTGAAAACTTAGTTTACAGATCAAGTTTACTTGCACATGCACAAGTGAACGGGTCTGTAAGTAATAGTATATATAATGATAGTATATGTGTATGCATGTGTTTGTGATCTGTCTGTCATGCATGTTGTATTTGCTATTTGTTTTGTGCCAGTATTAAAAAAAAATAGATAAATAAAAAAAAAACGAAAGAAAGAAAACTTTGAACTGCTGTCTTCGAAAAGAAGTGGGGCAGCATTTTCCCAGATTCTGGACTTTTCCCATTTGATTTGCTGTAATGTTGAGACAAAGGCCTTACTGTACACACACAGGAACATACAGTACAAAAGGGCAGTGCAAAACATACCAGACATGCTTGAATTGGTCAGATTAGGCATGTTGACTACTTGTCTACTTCTTATAGTTCTAAGAAAATGCCTTACTAGAAATATGGTGAACCTCCACCATAGTTTAATAAACAGATTGGTCTCTTCTCCCTCTCTGTCTCTGTCAGCTGCGTAAGTCGGTGTGCCTGGCTCTGTCTAAGATGTGGTGTGACTCAGAGCTACACTACAGCATGCTGGAAAAGGCCTGCGAGGACGGAGACACAACACTGGCCGAGTGTCTGATTGAGCTGGGTGCAGACATCAATAAGAAGACCAAAACAGAATCTCTCATCTACCAGGTCAGATGTCACAGAACCTGACAGGCCATTCATGTACTTCATGTCCCGAGGTCATGTTTAATTTGTTACCTTCTGTCAGCAAAGGGAAGTTAGGTTTTCACTCATGTCAGTTTGTGTTCTTTTATCATTTTACCTCCAAAAACTCAGAAGAAGAACAGAAAAAGCCAAAAAGTTTCTCTTTTTTGAATTTTGACAATTTTTAGCCACACTAACGGCTTGGCTCTCAAGTATTCCGCCATTACATGCAAATGTTAGATGTATGCTAAATGTATGCTAAAATGCTAAACAAATATGGTAAACATTATACCCGCTGAACATCACCATGTTAGCGTTGTCATGTGAGCATATTAGCATGCCAATGTTAGCATTTAGCTTAAACCACCACTCAATTCATTCAGTTGATCAGCAGGTTATTTGTCTTTTATTAAGTGGAAATACTAAACATTTCTGTTTCTCTGGTGTGAGGATTTGTACGTTTTTTTTTTTTACATTGTTTTGAACTGGTAACTTGTAATCGACATTTGTCAATATTTTTAGATATCTTTATAGACTAATAGATAACGCTAATAGATAACCTTACTTTTTTCTTTTTATACAAAACTGGGTACAACAACTAAATAAAATAGTTTAAAATTAGGCAAAACTATGATTTGAATGAGGGAATGTTGAATCATAGTATAAGTAAACAGGACTAACAATGTGACTGCTTTAGGTGCTCGACCGTTCTCGATACTTGGTGCTAATGACACATTTCAGACTGTACGAAAAAACAAATTCAGTTTCAACACTCAGCCCTACTAACAGATAGATCAATCATCAGTTCAGTGTCAATCATGGCAATCAATCATCTCTGCTGTCTTTTTCAGGTGTGTGAGAGAGGCGGACCCCTCGAGCTGGTGGAGCTGCTTCTCAGCCGGGGTGCCCACGAGCAGCACCTCCGCAGAGCTCTGGCTGTGAGCGTGAAGCGGGGCGACGGACCCACAGTCATTCAGCTGCTGGGGCGTCTGGGTCTGGACCTCAACAACAGCGCACTCTGCCTTGGGGGCTTCAGGCTGTGCCGTCTAGACGCCGCCTGGCTGAGCCCCTTGCTGGCTGAAAGAGGCAGAATATACTGTCTCCGTTACAACAACAGTGAGGAAGAGTTGATGTTCTCTTCTCTTTTTTTTGTCTGTAAATGGATTAGCTTTGGGTTTTGGATAAAGTGTTGATTTCACAGTTTTATGACTTAAACAGTTGATCATTTATCTGGAAAAATAAATTGACAGATGGAATTAATGTTTAGTTGCAGCCCAGTCTTAATAAATATCCACCCTGTTCTGTTTTAAGGTAAAGGAATGAGTTTGGCAAGGTACATACAGTCTTTACAGAGGTCCAAGAGTAGCAGTGGTCCTCTTAGATCTCTGGCCGACCCCTGTCTGACCTCTGGCTACATTTCTGAAGAGAGTGACGACTCCAGCTTCAGCTTTGTCTCCATGGACGACAGCCTATTCTTCAACGACGACATGGAGAGTGATGGTAAACGTTCAGAAATGTTGGCTAGAGCTTATCCTGCAGTGCGTTCATAGACATCAGGCAATTATGCCACAAACAAAGTAACAGTTTAACTGTTGAGTTCTGACACAGGCAGCCAATTTGTTCAGACTTGAAGTGGCATAATAGATTTCTACGCCTGAATTACAGCAGTGCATTTCAGACAATGTAATTCTACTACAGCCTGAACGGAGGATGAATAATCTGTTAAACGTTAGACTGTAGTTCTGTTGTGCTCCAGCAGCTAAAGCAATAACATCTCTTCACTGTAATGCTGGCTTCTCAGAAACTATATACTAAAGCCCATACACTGTAGCATCCTGTATGCCTCCTCTAATGCATTTATCTGGGAGCTTTTTTTAGCTCATGGGTCTCAAGTCTCCAACAAAAAAAAAAGAATTGGCAGTGGCAGCCTCTGCAGACCAACGACGGGATTGACTCTGAAACTGGGATAAATTCCCAGAATACAAATAATCATGAGTACTCAGATTTTAAGTATCACATACACATTATACCTGAACTTGAGTGCACCTCAAACAGAGAGGAAAACATATCGTACCGTGAGCGGAGTTCTCATAATTAAATGTTCTTTTTCCTTCTTATGATAATATCCTCACTTCTCATTGTGTGCTTTTCCTTTTGTAGGGAGTGATTCACTCTCAGGGGCTCTGTCTCCAAAACCGCACAATAATTCAACAGAGGAGTTGAGGGGCGGATCCTTTAAAAGGAAGCAGGGGCGTCGCAGACATGCCAGTGCAGAGGTAGAACCTCTTCATTAACTTTTAAAAAAGTATAGGATTTGATGTTATTATTATTATTATCTCTGCAGTGATTCCCTTTCTTAGTAATAGAACTATAAATCCCAAACAGATGTGTCTGTTCCCTCACTGTTTCTTTCCTCTTCCAGAGTGGTCAAACTGAGAATGAACATAGTGAGCCTGTACACAGGAGATATGGAAGGACTGGCTCAAGCCAAAAAGGTATCTCCGTCAGATTCAATTCAGTTCAACCTCATTGTCTTTCTGCCAAACCTGACATGACTTATAAATGTTGATGGTTATCTAGTTTCCATTGTCAGTCAGTTAACTGGTAAATCTGAAACACTATACAAAACTGCTTGAGAAAATACAGTTTCCGTGTAGATCTTATGCACTGATTGTATACTAATTGTATGTACCGATATACACAACTAATAAAAATAATAATAATTACATACTTTTATACTTTTATATAGTAAGGAAATACTCTTTAAGCTAAAACTGGTGTAGGATGTGTTTAGATAAGAGAATAAATGTGCATTTTGAGAGCTCATGTTTATTTAGTTACAGAAACTGTAACTGTGTGAAATTATTTGCAGTCCATAATATCATAGTATCAGTTTAAATTGGATAATAGAAAATGTTCCTTTTTTGTTTTTTAAAATGTTTATCAGAGCAGCAATGTCTTATTTATTGTTATTGCACATCTTTCAACAGAGACTCAAAACATAATTTTGTCAGTCTGAAAGCTCTTGACTTATGACAGGTCGTAGCTAATGATCTGTCACCTCCTCAGTGTTCGGTGAGAACTCTGCTGCTCTGCCCAAAGAGAGGGAGAGGATTCGCCTGCTGGACCTGTCAGGTAATGAGCTGGACTCTTTGTCCTGTCTGATGGATGATGGCTTCGTCCAGCAGCAACTGGGGCATCTCCTCCGCCTGGACCTGAGCCACAACTGTCTGCTGGAATTTCCTTCAGCACTTTGCCAGGTAATGTGTGTGTGACCTGTGCTAAAATACTAAGACATCAAAGGATTCATATGTACGCTGATGAACACCTTTTTGATGTGTCACAGAGTTTGACGAGTCTGACTCGCCTGGACCTGCAGGGCAACCAGCTCCAGTCGTTGCCAGTGGAACTGCTGTCTCTGCTCTCACTGAGCATGTTGAACGTCTCCCGTAATTGTGTGGGTCCCCTACTGACCTTTGATTCCACTGTTACCTGCCCATCGCTGCGGCAGCTCAATCTGTCTTTCAACAAAATCACCACATTCCCTCACGAGTTGGGCCGCGCCATGCATCAACTGGAGGAGCTGTTTTTGGAAGGGTAAGGAGGCTGGTTTGGATACTCAGATGAATATCTTGGTGAGGGAATGTCAACATGACTATATAATACTCAAGTGTATGAGTGTCAAGTTGCTATGAAAACAACAAAACCAAATAAGATTTTCTTTAGACTTTAACTGGAAAATTGTGAAATTTGAATTCAGGAATTTATTTCATAGTGGAAAAGGCTGGCATGTCTCCAGTGATTATGGGATATTTTCAGAAGTGGACCAACACAATAATGACTAATGAGGGTTGTGAAATCGTGGCTTCTGACGTAAACTCCCACATCAGTTCTCCAAATTGAATTAATTTGTTGGCTGCTGTAAATTCAAACCATAGTAAACAAAATTTCATTTTTATTACTCAGTTTTCTTGGATACCTTTCTAAACAAATCACTGCTCTGCTCTGTATCACTGAGCCGAGGGATTACTAGAAAGCACTCAGTGAGCACACACCTCAACCAATGCTGCACAGTCCTCTTTTTATCTGAATGTATTTATGGCTTTTTATTGGATAGTGACAGCTGAAGAGAGAGGGAATGACACACAGCAAAGGATTTGAACCCTGGGTCGCTGCAGCGGGTACGTGGTGTGCCAGCTCTACCAGTGAGCTAACTGGGCACCCTGATGTTTTTATGTTTTAACGTATCATAAGTCTGATTGTCACTAGCCATTAAAAACCCAAATAAATAATAATAAAAAAATGTGTGATATTCTGCTCCCTAACAAACAGACTACTAAACATCTTTTAAATGTGCTGGACAAATTTTGCCCTTTTGTATTCTTCATGTCAAATCAGGTTTCTCGGTAAAAACATAACCATGTAATTTTATGACTGGCATTCATGTTTCTAATTGCAGAATGGTGCAAGACAACTGTTATTCTTTCTCTTTTCAGTAACAGTATAAGTGAGCTTTGTGTGCCTCTGTGTCTGCCGGAGATTAAGCTGCTTGATGTGAGCAAGAACAGCATGGAGAGTATTTCTCCAGACTTCCTGACTGGCTGCCCCAAATTGGAAACTTTGAATGTCTCCATGAACAAAATCTGTGAGTACTGTATTAACTGATTATTACATTCTAAATCTGCCATTGAAAAGCACTGTGCCTTCTTCGTGTGCCCACTGTGTACTCTGGAAAGCACTCAAGCACCATGTGATCCTGAATAAGATTATGTGGACAGAAAGAGCAAATGGGTTCAATTTCAAAATGGCATACAAAATATTTGAGAAAACAGATTTCCTTCCAAAGCGCATTATTCAGACTGTTGACATAGCTGTGAAGGCATCTAAAAAATTCTGAAATATCAAAGATTGGATTCATAGGCCAGTTAATTTGATTGAACAACGAGTCCATATAATCTTGAGTTATTCAGTGTTGAATTTCAGGATTAGATGTCATGGTAACACAAAAACATCTTTACTGTTTTTCTCCAGGTTCTCTGTCACATCTCTCATCTAAGATCACAACACTGAAACTAGCAAACAACAATTTCACTGAAGTTTCTGAGGCTATACTCCATCTCCCAAAGTAAGTCAGACCCTCCATCCATACAGTGGTGTGAAAAAGTGTTTGTTTAATTGGTTTGGATGTCCGAACACTTAAGTGTGGACAAACATGCAAAGGAACAGGAAATGAGGAACGTTGGCAAA